TTTAAATAATAATAAATAAATGTATTATTTTCAACCTATAATCCACTATTTTTTATACAAATTCTAAACTAAAAATTAAAACGTGTCTTAAATAATTTTCATACTTTTAAAAGAAGAATGAAGAATGTAYAAATATATAAACATTAGGTATATACTTATAAGTTTTTCAAATTTGTCTAATTATTAATATTTTTTCCTGAACATAATATGATTTATGAATGGTAATGGCAGAATTCATCGATTAAAGACAACAAGTATAAACTTATTATAGTAGTTGGTAATCRGATCTTCGTCAATTTTAGATTTTCTGTTAAAAATATTAGCTTAATGTCGTAAAATTAAACAAAATAATTCATACAAAATATGTTTTGTAAATATATATGTTYTACATAAAAAATATATAGATAATTAATTATTTTTTTAGAATTAATAAAATAAAATATGCATTATATTAATTTTATTATACCTAGGTAGTAATAATATATTGAAGGTATATAAAAAWWTTTTTCTATTGCATTTAAAACATTTTTATACTAAATTAATAAATGTTAAGAGGATTAAATCTTGTTTCAAAACAATATAAACGTGAAATTGCTATTACCTTAGGGTTTATGATCAAAATCTGTGTTGTGTATACTAAATGTTAATCATAATAATTATCAAACCACGTGGGAGATACAATCAAATTAATTCACTAGGTATTAAAAAAAAAATAATAATTTTGTTTGCAGGAAGTTTACTTACATATAAGTACTTTTATTTAATTGGAATATTTGATCATAATATTGTTGTTGATTAACAATAAGAAATTAAGTAAATAATTAAATCAGTTATTACTTATTATAGATTATATAAAAACTATAGACGGAATCTCCGATAATCGATAATCCGATTTTCGACTTCAGTACCTCGTTCGATCAGAAAGTGAATCTAGTTGGTACTTTGGGGGGTTAAAAGTAAAAAATTCACAATATTTTTCTCAATATTTGGGATAAACAAACTAAAAATTAAGGGAAAAACGGGAAATTTTACACACAATCAATTTTCGACAAAATAGATTTCGGTTTTTGATGTAATTTTAAAACAAATGACCACAGATACACGAAATATTCACTGAATTTTTATATAAGTATATTCTATGTACCATACGATTTTCAAAAATGTTTTACTTATGTTGAACAATTTATAGGCATATGCAATTTTCGATCATTATTAGTTTTTTAAAAATTAATATCGATAAAAATATCTGTTGGGTAGATAAGCTTGAAAATTTAATCCAAGGCTCCTAACAA